GATGAAAGAAAGTGAATAAGAGAAACCAAGGTATGTAACGAGAGAATCGATAGAGATAAGAAGAGACGAATTTTAATTGATCCAGACAAAATGAAATTATTTGAGAGAGCAAACAAGAATATTCTTCGAGGTTGAACATTCGCGTAGTTTCACGAAAGCTAGCTATTATACTGGCGTACACTAATAGCCTCATATAAAAATAAAATTTGGTATTTTTTTACCAATCTATATACCGTATACACCAGATTCTATGGAACATGAATATGAACATGCCTAAACTGCTAATAATTTTACGATATAAAGCCTATTTCAAAGCAAAAATAACGGGACTAAAACTATTGTGTTTAGAATTTCGATCATTTTAGTAGCTAACACGCTTCGTCCAGTTATTTCATCCGTCACAAGACATATTCGTACAAGTACGAGCGATCGTAGTGTACAAGTACAACTCTGTCCCTCCCTTTCCTCCCTCAGGCGACACTAATCGCTTTGCATATCACCTTGCCCTTGACACTGTCGTCAGCCAATGCAAACGAGAAGCTTCCAGTGCACCACTTGCCCCAATTTTCCATCCAATCCTAATTATACAACGTCCGGCAAGCATAAAGGAAGTGGGACGGACGGGCGTTTGCAACTCCGCTTCGAAATTGCACGCCTTTAACCTTTAACATTCCAAAACGTTCGATATGCATATATATGGAGCGTCGATAAGTCAGTTCTTTTTGGCCGCACGTTTCAAATATCGAGCGCAATTGAGCGCCTGTTTATTTTTAAGATAAATAAATAGAGCAATCTCTCGGTTGCATACAATGCACAGTATATCCTATTTTGCTTGTTTGGCAAAATTTTTTAAATAAATGATTGATTGTATCCAACGCATTATTATTTACCTAGGTATACAAATGCAGTTTAAAACGTTTCCTTTTTAATGATATATAATATCTCGTCAATAATCGGTATTTACTTTACTCGGTATTATTTTACTCTTATTATCATACATATATTTGCCAAAAGCTTTGTATATGATCGAGCAATAGTGCATGAAATTCGAAAGAAATACGATAAATACTCGAGCTCCAAAGCTCTTACAAAAGAAAAAGTCGAAGGGCGTAATATACCGGAACAATTCTCCAATCCTTCTACTTTTCCATTCAGAGGTAAAGTACTCGTCCGCCTCTAACGCCCTCATTTTTTCTTGCCGGCTTTTCGCACCGGTTATTTCCACCCTCATTTGTTCTATCATCCTCTTTCTGCCACAAGAACGCACAAAACTAAAAGCAATCGATTTATCACAAGCACACGCGCTGTGTATTCGCGTAATGCATCATGTGTTGTCGCATACTCGCGTAAGTAATGTATTTCAGTATACATATATTGTATACATACGGTAAAGACGTCAAACGAGAATAGCGAAGATTACGCATTATAAATTGAAAGGCAAATGTGCTGAATCATTTTCCTATCTTCTCTCTCTCTCTCTCTCTCTCTCTCTCTCGTTCCTCTTTTTGGGATCCCCCTTCAACAGTTTTGATGGATTATTTAGATGTGAAATTCGAAATGTTTGATAAGTTTTCCCTAAAACGTTATTTTCTCTCGTTATCAAGTTACAATTACCAATTATATTTTATTTTACCAAGAATGAATCGATTGTAGATGACAATTTATATTTTCGCGCAAATTTATACTTTCAATCATGGATTGACAAGTGCAAATATCCACGAATATTCTTTATTATTCATCTCATAATGCAAATATGTTTATTCGGTGTTTATCTAAAGCAATCTCTCGGCAATTCTCTCGACGTAGGAGATAAAAAGATTCCTCAGCTCATATCTTTGACATTTGACATGACTCTATAATCCAATCGCAGCATCGATGCTATTTCTGTCTTTTCCGCGAAACAATATATTGTCGCATATGACAGATATCTCCTTTGGGAATGTTCCACAGATTTTCGGTTTTTCTGACGAATTCCGCTTTCAGTCGCATTGTCTGGTTACATACAGTTCGTTTCCACTCACACCAACCTTTCTATTCATATTCTCATGAATTTTCATTCGTCGCTCGCGGGATTGCTCGTTATTTCGTGTGTATTCAAGTTTGTATTAGCAGTTCGGTATACAACAAGAAGATTATTGGTTTGGAACTCTTGCGAAATCACAATAATTTTTCTTTTTTTACTCTGGTAGATCGTCAAAATGTAAATGCGCAAATCTCGCGAACGGCGGAAAGCGCGAGTAATTTTTATTCGACGAAAATGACATTGGATTACCTGCCTCAGTGGTTCTCCAGCTTGCTCTTCAATTCCACACCCAAATGGAGAGAATTCTTTTAAAGTGGAAGAATAATTCGTCTCCAGACTTTATACTGTCGGTTATATTACCTACCATTACTAAGACTATAATGAATATTCTTCTTTTTGTGCACTTTTTGTTGTAGGATTTAATAAGATATAATTTTTGAAAAGTATAATGGTTAATTAATAGCTTTGCATATAAAGTAGAAGAAAAATGTTAAGATTTAAAAAAATTAATGATTATTTTAAGATAATTATCTTGTTAACAATTTAAACTCATTGTCAGCTGTTTATATCAACTGAAATTTTTACGCATAAAAAATTTTTTCTGACAAAAAATAAACACTTTTTTCTTCGCGGAGTAGTCTGATGATTAAAAGTATTTTGCAAACTTCTACCAGTTTTAACGTGAGAAGACAAAGATAAATCTGTACTCTCTCGCGATGGCGTTGTACCGACAAATAAGCTGCTTGGCACTGCACATTGACTTTCGCGCTTTTATAAATTTAAATCCTGAGCTGAAGAAATTGCTCGTTATCTCGTGCATTTGCGCCCGTGGTCGTACACCTGGTGCATCTTTGGAAACTCCTTTCTCTGTCTCGATAAGAGAGCATTCTGTTACCAAGATGCGTACAGAAGATGCGAGAAAGGAAATAATGAAAAGCAGAGGAATAAGAAAGAATTTAAATGTCTACTAATAAAAAATTTAAATTCACGCCACGGTCGTTTAATTTCCGCTTTTCACGGTGATTTTAAGAAATTAATACGCGGATCTATCAAGTGCTGAATTAAATCATCTGGTTCTCAAACTTATTTAATTTGATACTTTTGCGATGATAATTTAGTGCATCTCGCATGCCTATAAAATATAATTCTAATACATCTAATAATAAAGCTTATAAGCGAGCGATTTACTGGAGCAAATACCTTAATTAAATTCTCGTGATATGTGCATGTCTACTAACATTCACATCAACATTCTACGATATGTATTTTATGGACCAAGATAAAAAGGATGAACGAATGTACACGATAATATACATATAACTGAATTCTAAAATTAAAATTACCTAATTAACCCAGTTACGAGCTAAAATTTCTGAATCTGTTTCTCCCCTAATGGAAGGCTGTCCTTTCTGAGCCCATTATACAGCACAATTCAAGGATGAATTGTAAGTGAATATTATGCTAAAAGCATAGACAAAACTAAAAGCTTTGGCAAAAAGTATACATGAAATAGCACTCCCATTCAGAGATATTACACTTCTCGATTTTCTCTACATTTTCTTGAGAAGCGACACAATATATACGTGTTTTTAGAAAAATTTGTAAGTTTCTGTATCAATTTAATATCAATTTTAGAAAATAATTTATAAATATGCTTGTAATACTTGAATACAGATACTTTAATCAAATATCAGAATTGATCGTGGAGTGTTACAAACAATTAAAATCTGCTTTGTATCTTAATTGTTTGTAATACTCCACGATCACAAAGATCGACAATTATGCGGTTTGTCTAACAATAAACTGAGAAACAATTCTCAGTTCAGGCAAACCGCATAATTGTCGATCTTTAAAACGCAGCTCCAAACTGAATAGTACATAATATCACAATTAAATACAAATACTTTATATGTCAGATTCTTGATTTTCCTTTATCTGATTTCATCATATTGTGCGTTGTACGTTGTGCGTTGTGTGTGTGTGTGTGTGTGAGCGCGCGTACTTAATATAAATCACTCGCTTGCGCTTAATCGCGCGTTCGTAATTCGACGTAACGAGATATTACGCCAAGTAGCGCGCTACCGAGTTTACTTCTCAGATACTAAGGCTATACTGCACTTACTAACAGTAATCATATTAGTGCATGTAAAGTTAAAGGCATGCTAGGAAACGCGTTCGCATGCGAGTTATGCGGCGACATAAATTTGAATATAGTTTAAGCCTGCGTTATACGCGCGACCGCACGTTGCATCGCGAATTAAGTAAAATTAAATTCTAGCACTCGTATTTACGCCCGACGGACGTGCGCGGGGCTCTTAAAGCGAGATTGTAACGCAGTCCGTTGCACATACACAGGACGTACCAGCGGCGTAAACCTAGTTAAACACATTTTGAACGCCGTTATAAAAGTGTTGTGCATCCTCGACATCGAAATCAGATCTTCCCAGAAATAGAGCGCCAAAGTTAGAGTGCTTTCCAGAACGCTGGAGTTTATTCCGAAGAACTACTGCACCCACTTACGGATATCGAACATATCGTGCGAATGACAACAGAAAATCAATTGACCCATATAACCAGCAATTCGTTAAATGCTGACCGATATATATGTATGTGTGTGTGTGTGTGTGTGTGTGTGTGTGTGTGTGCGCGCGCGCGCACACACACACACACACACACACACACACACACACACACACAGAAATATAAAATGATAATGAAATATATCTATTAACCTTGAAAAATATATTTATATAGTAAAGGGTGTGGACAAAATTAATCAATTCGCGCTAGCTAGTAAATACAGCTAATAAATCGCATGCTAATAAAGAGAGAATTATTATTTAAGAAATACTATATTTAAGAAGCACTTTTTCGATTCAAAAACAAACATGAAATTACAAAAAATATTAATATCAACTTGCTACAAAATGCGTAAATAAAAGCATTGTAATTAAGAATTTGCTTTTCTCTGTTTCAGCTGTCGGAGGACATCGGGTATGTCCTTTACTCTGCTCTGGGCAGCTTTTACATCCCATCCTGCATTATGGTCTTCGTGTATATACGTATATATTTCGCTGCCAAGGCTCGCGCGCGTCGCGGCATCCGGAAACAGCCCCGTCCACGTGCGGTGCCGCCGGAATCGCCTGACATTAGGCAGACCAGCTTCACTCAGAGCACACCGGCAACCGACATTAAGAAGCCTCCGGGATCAGTCATGGAAAACGTTGCCACGATCGAGAACCAGCCAGTTCAAATACCGATTGTTACATGTGACTTTGCTAGTGACGTCAGTACGTCTGAGGCTGATCCCGGCGGAGGCATTAGTATACCGATGGAAGAAAAGGACACGCTAAAGGTAGAATTTCTAACCGTTTCAACAATATTTCTGCGATCGAAATAAATTTGAAAGATTGAAATGAAAATATCAGAAAATATACGCAGCTATTGATCGAAAAAATATTATAGAAATATTATAGTATTATAGTATTTTGTATCTCGAAATCTGTATCCCATATTTAGTTTCGTTTTTCTAGTTCAAGCCTTCACAGTGAAAGGCTCTGATTTAATTTCGAATAAAATAATTGACTTTAGAGTGTGTAAATCTTCTGCAATATTATAAAAAGGTTGATTTTGAATTACGATCGACGACAACAATAGTAATCTCAAATTTGATGTCTGTTAAAATATGTTATTTTCATATTATTATAATATCTACATACTCGATAAATATGCAATAAAATATATAAAGGCAGTTTTTAAATTTTGGATTGTCTCTCTTGTCTTATCATATTCTTCTATGATCATTTTTTTCTTGTATGAACACATACCAACATCATTCGCCATTATTCTCATCAATATTTCGCATGAATCATAAAAATAGAACTAGTAAATCTTCAGAATCGGATATTTCGTATTAGAATACAGTTCATGGAGCTGAATTGGACAAAAATCCCAGCAAAAGAGGATGCGCGCGCGCGCGCGCGCGCGTGTGTGTGTGTGTGTGTGTGTGTGTGTGTGTGTGCATATAAACGGCAAACAGTACCTCTATCGCAGATCAGAATAAACGATCGATCAATCTAATTGTAAATACGAATTTCTTTCGCCATATTCTGTCAGACTACAATTTTTCGTCAACTATACCTCGATATCGAGATAATTTAAAACCCATCGAGAAAACATTCAACGACAGTCATTTATATCAAATATTATAAAATTAATATGTCTCTCTCTCTCTCTCTCTCTCTCTCTCTCTCTCTCTCTCTCTCTCTCGCTCTCTCTCTCTCAGAACTTGAAGATATTCTTTGTCGATATATAAGTTAATCGCAATATTCAGACATATATATATGCTTATATATATAATAAGTCTATAATTACATCGAAGTTAATGTATTAGTGTTTAGGTATCGACACTATTGAGTAATATTTATATAAGATAACTCGCATTATTTCAAATGAATATGCACTGTTTCTAATGAAAGATATGAAACGTTTTACTTCATTTAATGGCGCGGATTTTAAACTGTGTAAAGCATTTCCTTATGTCAATACATTTGCGGGGAATAAATCGCTTTTTGTGTTAAGCATTAAATCACGTTGCAAGATTGGACCCATTCGTTTATCAAGATTATGCAGCGGTGTGCAGCACTGAGGAAAATTCGTATGCCTGAGCGAAGTTGCGTTTGTAATTACGTACGAAAATACAGTTTTATACCGAGACAGGGAGATAATTGCACGGGGATGAGTTTCCCATTCCGACTGTCGCGCAATTACGTGAATTCTCGTTCAAACTTGAGCGCAAGAACACGCCCGCCTTTGTTACCTCGGGCTTCGTATAACAGCTGCATGTCAAAGAGTCTCGTGATAATCCTGCCTATTCGTATGAAAATCATACGTCGCATGTACACAAGAATAGACGCATGTAACATGCAATTCTATCAGATTTCTGAGATTTGTAGAAATTTGCATGTATGTGGAACCGATTAACTTTAATGAAGAGAGCAGATGAATAATTTGTGCTTTTGATTTCACAATTCAAAAAATAGAATATTATAATATTTTATTAGATTTTGTCATTTTTAGTAAATTTTCCTAGTATCACTTGAATTCACTTTTATTTTGTATAAAAATTCAAAAATATGATTGCTAAAAACTTTCATAGATTAGAGAATTTCGCAGTGAATTTATTTTCAACATGCTTCACAAATTTACTGCATATTCAAAACCTTATCTCAAAACTAACAGTCGAGTTTATAATATTGCATATCTAGAAAGTTGCAAAGAACCTGTTCTGGCAAAGTAACATGCCAACGCAGCACTAGACAGTGCTGATATGGCGACTGTTATACCGCATACATATATGCGCGTGCATAAAACGTGCAGCCATTATTTCATGATTGCCTACCTAAATTTTATATAAATTTTAACTATGTAGATTTAACTCAAGCGGAAAATAATTTTCTATTCAACAACTTTGTTAAACAAAAGATTTACTTGCCAATGATATTTAAGGAAAGATAAATTCTCAGATTTATATTTGACGACTGTAAAGAAGAAGGAAACGAAAGATTTAAGAAATAATGATTAAAAAGCATTAAATCACGTCTAACGTACAGTAACGTATTTTGTTGCAGGTGAGCATACCGGTGCCAGCGCAGAAGAGCAACCTGAAAGCAACCCTGTCGGTAAACGGGGACGGACAGTCAGGAGGCCAGAATGTGCCGGCGCGATGCCGTGCGGCGAGCGTTGGCATCGACGTCGACATGGTGTCCGAGTTTGATCCCTCGTCATCGGATAGTGGCGTGGTGTCGAGATGCGCGGTGGTAAAACCGCTCAAGCTACGACTCTGCCAGCCGATCTTTGGCCGCAAGCACGTAGGTAAGTCAAAAAGGGAACACGCTGAGCGACACAAGGACGAGTCCGGCGGCGGCGGCGGGGGCGACGGCAGGACGATGAAGCAGCGCGATCCGGAGAGAGAGAAGAGGAGGCTGGCAAGAAAGAAGGAGAAGCGTGCCACGATGATACTGGGCTTCATAATGGGCAGCTTTATCGCTTGTTGGCTACCCTTCTTTGTTCTTTACATCGTCAAACCTCTCTTTCCTGATTTCGATATACCTTCGCAGGCCTTCGTAATCGCTTTCTGGCTCGGCTACACCAATTCAGCGCTGAATCCCTTTATTTACACAGTCTTCAATAAGGATTTCCGCCGTGCTTTTCGCCGAATATTGTTTAAATGAGCAATACAGTATAGCGTTGACCAAGAGGGACGCTAACGATAACTATATTTTCCATCCTCGGATACCTGTGAATACCGATAGTACTCCGAGCTTCGAGGATGTTTTCTCGATCGCATTACGCGATATCCGATCTGTTTCCTCGAGTTATCCTCGAGAGAAACTTTAATCATAAGAGGAAGGTGGAATTTTACAATGCCGCGCGGAAACATTTGCGAAAGATGGAATCGGAAATGCGCGGGAGGAGTTTGCGACAAGACGAGAAGTTCGCGTTTCAGATCGTAAAAAGTTTTTCCAGCTGATTTTTTCGGAATACAAAGCGAACTGGAAACTGCAGAATCGCACGTGCAAAGAATGAGAGACGAGAAGAGACAAGACACGTCTCTGAGTTCGTGTATTCCTTCGGGATTGTTGTCATCTTCCAAAAAATTGACTTTTTTTGCGATCGTCAAATCAACGTACAACTTTGCCCCGAAAACGCAAGATATATCGCATTGTAAGTCATTTTGGATATGCGAGATCCATAATTGAGAAGAACTTTTTGAATAATGTCAAAACTCAAGAAAATTTTTTCTTTTTCTACGTTATTAAACGATAGACGACAGAGTGTGAAAAACCTTATCGAGATATAATGTTTTGAACGTTTCGATCACAAGAGAGACCCATTGAACAAGCCTCTTAACGAGCAGGGCAATCTACTTTATCTTTACACAATTCACACGGACTTTGTGATATACTGCATGCGACAGATCAACGAAAAATACTGTTCGCTTGGCTGGCCAAGAGAACATATAATCTCATTACGCACGGATTATTACTCTCAAACTTATGACATACCTTACAAAGCGAATCGCTTCGAAGACCAAGAGGCAGCATATCGCTCCTTCCTCCATTTCCGCGCATATATTTTTTTTACTGGCTATTCTTCTTCCATAAAAGGATAGAGAAAAGCAGCAGGAGAAACACGCGCCAACAGAAGAAAGATGCCGGCTGATATGAATGGAGGATACTATTTCCGTGCCTAATCTCTTGGTCACGTTTATGAAAGGCATGACAATCCAAAGTGCATATATGCAGCGCAGCCTGCACACGTTTGCGTAAATATACTCAGTCTCGTCGTGGAAAAATAAATTGGACGAGTGGAAATTTCACAGCGCGCTACCTGAGGACAACGCGGTCGGCTATCGCAGTAGATGATGCACGTATAATGTAGGACGCGCAGGAGAGTAATTTGAAGAGTGTTCAGTTTTATGCTCGATTATAACGCGTTGCATGCGTGATAACTGCGGAGGAAAATACGACGCGATCAAAGAAGGAAGGAGAACCCTACGAACACCGTGACCGATTGGTCACGTCAACACCAACCAACGTTGAAGATCGTCGACAGATCTACTGACAAATAATGAAAATGCGAGACAGTATATGATACGTTTCCTACTATGTAATTAGGTATATTCGCGCATCGTGGGCCCGAGACGGGCCCTTTAAACGTCCGGCGTTCCAATCGTGAGTCTTCGATGTTACTTTTAACAAAGAATTACGCATGTATAGAATTTAACAATTTTGTCACGTACGTGCAGGGTATATGGATGCGTGCTGGTGCGCGTATGTAGTGTGTTCATGTAGTTCCTTTCCTACGAAAGCAAATATAAGAGACATAGAGAAAAGTTCTATTTTACAAACTACAACAGGTTCCTCTGTCGCAGCCTAACTGTACAGCAATAATCAATCTTTCGTTCGTTGAAAACGATCGTTCGTTTGAACGAGATATCGCGAGAGAGAGAGAGAGAGAGAGAGAGAGAGAGAGAGAGTAAATCGGCATGAAACGATCAATCGTAGATTGTGTCCTCGATCATGCATTGTTCGTACGTACATGTGAGGTATGTATGTATGTGCAAATGGCAGCGTACGCACGCTGTCCAATATGCGATGAATAATCACTTTGCGTCGCAGGGTCCAAAATTAAACGCAAATCTAGATAAAAATAAAAAAAACCGTTTATGGCCGTGCATATATACCGGCGTTCCATTACTCATAGCCTTTATTCCTCGTCATTAACAAACTTTAACCAACGCTTAATCATACTTGCGCTATATTTGCTCTACGGTGGATGTATTTTATATCTGACTGTATAACAAAAACGGAAAAGCGGCACAACGAATGACAAAATGATCGAAAGCGATCAGTTAATTCTCGAAAGGTACAGAATAGATCCGCCAATTAGTGAGAGACCGCTCCTAAGACAGAAATATTATTTCCGTAAGACGGAAATCCTGTGCCTGCCAACAAACAGATGCTCCTACGTCAGTACGAATAAGATTCTCGTAAAATGATCATACGCGGAAAGGGGATGCCGCGAGATAGAGAGACGAGAACGATGTCTCGCACACCTGTGCTCGCTATTCTGCGGAAACACAACCGGGTAACAATATTCCTCATTTCGTTCCATCAAACCAAGATTTTCGCAATGCGTTCTCCAGCGACTCTTCAAAAGAGATCACGACGCGAGATTCCAGGATTTTCCTCTTCCAAAATTTCCGAGAGAAACAATGTCAGCTCATTCTTTTTCGCCGATCTCGTGTGTTCGATTTGGCGAGCGAACGAGAGAGAGAGAGAGAGAGAGAGAGAAACGATAAGCTCCAGCATCATAAATCTTATATGCCCAATACAGCGAGTACATTAGCGGAAATGTACTCGCTCACGCACGTACGTGACGCGCAATACACCACAACGATAAATCGATAAACACATCTCGCGCGTTCTGGTTCTGTAATGTTTAAGAGTGTGCCTGTCTATACCAGTCTGCCTATAAGCGTGCGTGCGTACGTGTATTCTCGTGTCTCGCTCTCCATCACTTCCTTTCTTAATTCCCATTCTAACTTTCTAAAACTCCTTCAAAATATCTTCAACTATTATTAACATTAATTTTCTCGCTAATATTGCTTATGCTTATATACTATTCAAGAGCTTCAATTTTTTAACTTTATCTTAATTTATTAACTGTAATTGTATAAATAATTTATTCTCTCTCTCTCTCTCTCTCTCTCTCTGTTTTTTTGTTATTATCCCTTTCGCTTCCTTCCTTTTCCTGATTCCGTAATAAGATGATAGTTGAAATGGAAAAAGGATTATTCGTAGAGATAGCAGGTGATCACGGATAGTTGGATATGAGGGAATATGGAATTCGTTGATAAGATTGTGGCATTTGTTCAATGGATTATTAGCATAGCCGGGATCAATAAGAACGCGCGTCTCGGTTTCTTTTTTTTTTTTACTAAAGAAAGTGAGAGGAAAATTATGAGAGAAGAGAGATGCGTATTTCTACATATTATAACAATCGATTGCACGAATGTCGCGGTCGTTGGACCCGCCGTGGTTATTTGCGTCAGACCACTATACGACAAATATATAAACGGGATCATGTAAAGTCACGTGTACTCAATGAGAATTTAAAACGGCATCACTGATCGACACTTTTTTTTTATCGAAACGAAAACGTGATTTTTTTTGTATGATAATAACTGCTTGCTGAAGAGAAAAAAAATGTTTATTGCTTACAATTAGATCAGCTGATGAGGCTATCTCCAATTCACATATTACATTTTGTTCGAAAACATTTTCTGTTGATCAATCTAATTTAGTTTTAGCTTTTTTCTCATTGTTTTATTTTCTCATTGCTCGAATGGAAACTTTTCAATTTCCATTTTTATCAACGAAACCTAACGAAACAAAGACTAAAATATTTTAGTCTTTGTGAATTCTAAACGGGAAATGATTATTATTAAATTATGCTATAATTATATGGTTAATTCTGTTGGTTATATCGAGAAAAAATATCAAGAGAGAGCGAGATACGAGTATAGACGCACTAATTTGAATGAACTATAGGTACGTATGAGATAATAGCATAAGTGAATTATAGGTACGTATGAGATAATAGCATAAGTGATTTTAAACATGTAAGACATTAGCGAGTAAAATATAAATGGCCATGCAAAAAAATAGCGCAAATCATTAAGATTGAGGTAAATGTAAGTAATACGTAAGAATGACCGTTTACCAATTGTCATCAATTAATATGTGTAACACCAGTCGCTTTAGGCGTGGTGAAAATTTTTTGCAAACAAGTCTTTCGGAAAATCTCTATGTGTGTCAGTTATCTACTTTATATATACACAATGTTCTCTAAGCAGTATAGTGTACAGTTTTGAAATTAAGCTATCATAATCCACGTGAGACCTGTAATGATTACAATGATCTACGTATCTAATTCCTATAATCATTTCGGTTATCCATGCAGTCTGACTCTAGTATGGTGCACAATACACCACTCGCGAAGCGCTATAAAACTCAAAGCAAATGTACTTAAAACCGACATTGTACACACGTGTATTATATATAATATATATATACATATATATTACTCTGTTATTACAATTACCGATATCCTAATTATTAATTAGATATTATTAATCAAAGTAGAGATCCAACGATCGATTCTATCTGTTATTTCCAATACGCCGACGGTGGTTCTTGTGTCGCGTGAAATCGTCGTTATATCTATCGCACGTAAACCATCAAAATGGTAGGCAAAGAGATCGCTCTGGAATTTTCCAGGAGAAGAGGAAAAAAATTAATGCTGGAGTTCGCCGACTTCGAACCGGCGCAGCGCGTCTGTCCGTCCCAGTTGCAAGTAACTCGGCGGCGGAGCAGGAAAGTTTATTCTTCATGAAAGAATGGGAAGGGACGGACGGATAGAAAGCGCAGAAACGCGACGGCGAACGAGCTGCGATCGTTTTCCCCGGGAACACAAATCTTGAGGCTCAGAGACTTCATTTGCCGAATCTCCCTCTGCGGATTAAGCATTTTCGCCGAACTAAATGCGCGACTTAGAGCGCCGTCATTATACGCGCTCCGCGATTTATAGTAACCGCGATAAAATGGCATTTTATCTTACGATCGAAGTCGCGCGTGTAGAATATTATTGTTGCTGCGCGCGCACGGTTGCTACGATTTCTCTTTATTTGGCACGAATTTCCAAATTTTCGAGAGAAGCGAACTGCATCGACATTATGGAGGAATTTTTATTATAGTTATGCGAATCGGGTACACATATACGCACACCCGCACACACGCACATACACACATGTACGAATGAGAGACGACATTCCGAATTATTCGAGTGTAAAGAAAATTCGTTTCGCTACAGTTGTACGTCGATTCACTGTAGAATAATGAGAAATGTCATCCGAAAGAAGAAAGAACATATCGTTCGCTTGCGTAGGCCCAGCGTGTTAAAATTTCCTAATGATTTTGAATTACAATAATTGAAATTAGTTGGTTTGTCAAGTATTACATATATGTATATCGTTGCATTTTAAATTATTATTTAAAAAAATTATTACATTTATTTGTCAGTTTTATAAACACAGAGAAAAGAAAGCTTTTTCTCATATAAAAATTATCCAACCAACGTAATAAGTAAAGTTATAATAATAGAAAATATTAAGCATGTTTAGTAGCAAAAAAATAACTGCCCGTATTTCACAATCAAAGCTGCAACTATTTATAAATCACGATTAATATCAGATGAAACCGAAAAAGAACAATATATTATTATCCGACAGATTAATTAACTCGGAATAAATGGTCGTCGCGTCAGTTTCGCATATTGGATTAACATAAATCTGTTATATGTTTGTGCATTACGAATAATTTTAGCTCATATTTCATCATACTTTTTTAAATGCTGCCCGTGCTCATTACGAAGAGGTCGTTTGTGTCGACTGAGATTTATGTTCCCGTCATCGCTTCGCCAGATTTATGCGTTCGTTGGATGACTCGGATCCGAAACGAGCGCTCGCGCGATTACCATGTGGGTGCATTACGACGAATTCGCGCGCCAGAGTCGCCAACAGACTTTTACTCTATCGATGATATTGGAGCAATGAAATCACTGTGATATCACTAAAACGCTTTCAAAGTATGCAATGGGATTGAGAACGATGCTACGCGAAATTGGCATGGACGAGAGAGAGAGAGAGAGAGAGAGATTTGNGTGCGTATGCTCGCGCGCGCGCGCGTGTGTGTAATTAATTCAAAAAGATTTCAAATTACTAAATAAATTAAAAGAAAAGAAACATAAAAACATATAAAAAATATGAAAACTTTGTGTGTGTGTGTGTGTGTGTGTGTGTGTGTGTTACAAGTTGAGAAAAAATAATAAGAGAAAATGTAAAAATTTACGCTATCTCGATTACGTAATTATTATAAAAGCGTATATTGTATGTATATAATGCACACACACATACAAATTGCGATTGATTATAGAGAAATAATATAAAACTTGTATTATTATAATCGGGAAAATCTATATATATATACATAATATATATATTGAAGACTAAACTATATACTATTATTGTCGATATTATATCATTAAAACTATTATCATCATATTACGGTTACTCTCATCATTGTTAGTACTCACTATTATCGATGCAAAAGTCCTATTGTCTAATAGCGTTGATTATCTGTTATAGAGAATGAGAGTATAATGTTACAACAGAGATAAAAACAAGAAATTACGAATATAATTAATAGTGCTATTTATGAGAAACGTTTTACTATGTAAATAGAAATTAATGCCGGACTCTGTCAGTTAATTCTTCATGTTTAACACGAGTAGAGTCGAGAGAAACATGGAGAAGACTGGTTTTAGCCCATTGACGACTTCTGGACATAGGACTTAGATATATTATAAGTATCGATTTCCCAATTAAAAGATCGAATATTACGACTGTCCATTTAATGGGAGTTCTATAGAGACAATAGCGACCACGCGTTACGAAATTCAATGCTAGGTCGACACAGAAAGCGAATTCTAAGTGTGTAAAACAACTTCGAGAGCACGTTTAGCGTTCCTAGCTTTTCTAAATTACAAGACATCCGTGTCAATTACATCGGTTGACATAAATGATTTCATAGGGCATCATCCATAAATTTGGGATCGCATATCGTTTACTTTCTTTCTAATTTCGTAATTTCGACTCTCAATGTGTATGTATATATTATTTTAATTTAAAATGTTTTATATTTTTTTATTTAAACAATATTTATAAAATATTATAATTTAAAAAGTTTTTAAAAAAAGATTGTTCCTTTTGTTAATAAAGCTGTACAAGAAAATAATAATGAATAATCATACAACAATATGCTTCTGCATCTAGGATGCAAAGAGAATTTTCAGCAACAAAATCGAAATTTTAAAGCGACAGCATTCTACATCGTACAGAAGAGAAAGACACATACGAATATAAATATCTTAAGACCTCAGGTCTAATTATAGTATAGTTCGATTATGAAAATTTTATATTTTTTTCATTAGAGACAGTTTGTTAAGCTCACGCTGCACAATACATATTTTCTTGTCAGTTTTTCCTTGTCCATTGTCTTTGCAGACTGTAATGCATGTTATCCGGCATGTTACAAAACAAGGGTTGCTGCAGATTTAGCGTCATAGGACACAGACGCGAGTGACGCGTGTGATTGATGTAACGCGATTATGTAGATGGAGAGTGAAAAGAAGAGCTCGCACGATTGTTACGACCGGATCACGCCTAGTTACACGTGGCAAAACATGCGCGGGAAATAGCATAGTATCTGTCATCGAGTGGAAAAGCAAACGATGCGAGTCGTAACAAGCAGCATGCATGATAAACTTGCACCCTGCAACGAAATACGCTACGTAAAGAAAACACGTGCGGCGCGGCGCGGCGCGGCGCGGACTCTAACGAATATATTCAAATGCTGCAAAATAGCAGACCTTATTAATGATTTATGGCCGTTTTCATACGTTTGTGGATCTCGTTCCACGCGGTGTAGCATGCTGTTGCAACTACCCGAGCTGCAAATACGATCGAGCTTGGAAAACTGAACACGCTTTTGAGGTCCGAAATGCTGTGTACACGCAAAAGGAGTCGCGTTTTGCGTCACCGTAGCTTATTACATGTTACCTTACGTAATAAGGTGACAGTAATAAATCGCGATATGAGCGTGTCTGACGAGTATCGATTCACGAGCATTATACCTATCGCCGATTGTAGCATGCATTTTTCAGCGATACGTTTTGTCTTTAGTCAATCTCGACGTTACAACGATTCCACCACGAGGAGTTATCGTTACTGGCAATATGGTTACTAGAGACTTTCCGCAATAGTCGATATGGCAAACGCTAACGTACTATAAAAAATAGTGTCAAGAATATTGCTCTGGTAACGTCAGTTAATTGTTTGCATCCAATATTTCAGCGATTATTACATTTGAATATATAGTTTTCAAAAAATGTTTCCTAAAAAATCTTTTCATGTAGAACGATAATGTACAATTAATTCTTGCAAGTCCTAATATTCTAAGGCTTATTCTTCTTCTCATTTTCTCAAAATAATGTAAAAACGCTCATTAAATCTTCAATCCTCAATAGCTACAGGTATCTCAGTATCCCATTAAATTTTTTTTAGCAGTAACAGAAACACTACTCACAAATAAAGATTTTCAAGTATTTCAGAATAAAACTGATTATTATAAGTAAAGCGGTCAGTCTTATTCACTTAACTAACATAATAATTTCAGAAAAAGATGAATCAGAATTCGCTAAAGATGAATTATTGCTTCAATACATAAAATGTATTTAATACATTTAAAATAAAAATAAGATAATTGTTGTATACATAATTTGTAAAATTATTTTCAATATTGCATCTATATATACACTACAGGTCTTACAGATTATAAACTTATTACTTTTTTATACCGAATCTTTTAGTACTGTGTCGAATATTCTATTACTTATTGAATAATATAAATAATATTGATTAAACTAAATTGTACTTAATTTTTTATATTGAGGAAAGAGCTGGTCACTTTACTTACGAATCGACATCAACTCCATCGATGTCGGTGTTGCATTCCATGTGAAATCTTCGAATTCTCGAACCATGATCACCGCACGATCCAGGATCTGGCGTATCCGTTATGGATTCACTGTAAACAATATACCGATAAAAATTTACCAAGTACCTTCTAAGTATCCCGACAACAAACAAATAATGCTTGAACAATCAAGAAAAAATTATTGCGCAATATGAAATGACATCTATCATCCACTGCAAATACTTTCTTTTTGGATTCCTTTCCTATTATATAAATATGTAATTTTCTTGTATTTCTATAAAACGGTGAAAAAAATATGCCTCGTCTCTCCATAAACTCTTTGCAAATCACTATTAAATGTGATTGCATTATGTATTACACAAATGTCGTCATGGATTAACGAGGTGTGGGACCTGACAAAGGTTTCGGGAAACCTCTTTATCGTTTGTCGACACTACGTTCATTAACATTCCTTCGAGCGTGTGCTCCGAAATTACATCACCCGCGTTGTAAACGCCGTAAGCACAGCCATCCATAAATAATGACGATTGAATGTACGCTTAATTCTCTCTCGGCACTTTCGCTTAGTTAAATACCTGCACCGTTTTACTTGTGGTACATTTCTAAAGGTATTATCTTTAAGCTTTTTATTTTATAGTCGCGCGTAAATAACGGATTTTTTAAATCAATTTTTTTATTAAAGCTAGGATATCGATATGTAGATCTCGCAACATCTTATAATTTATTCGACACACGCGTACTATCTCTTCTGATAGCAGCACATATAAAATTGTTTTGCGTCGTTTTTATTTGCCGCGAAACCCAGTTTACAACACTGTCAAAATCACGCAAAAGATTCAAATCAAATTTAAAGCCGCTAACACTATGGAATAATGGAATTCCGTTTAGCAAAATTTACGCAGTAAAAGCTGTAAAAAGTTTTCCACTTCGTGTAATGCGTATATACACATGTAAATCTACTACACATGCACAATGCCCACTTTTTGTTTCATTACAATAATCAATTTATTTATTATCACGTAATAGTAAAAACACGGCAGCACGCAATCAAGTTTTCACAGCGTGATACTCTCGTTCATTATGGACTTTGTAAAAAGATAAAGAAATATATAAACATGCAAAACAATCATTGCTTTACTAATACGGAATGACATTGAGCAAAAAAAAAGCAAAAATACCGCAATGTAAAAATCTTGTTATTTCTGCAAAACTGTCGGTTTCAGAGAGATATGTTTATTTCACATTTCTCTCTCTCTCTCTCTCTATTGTCTCACCGGATAAAATTAAATTAAAAAGTCTATACGGGAATTACGGTCTATCCCATTCCGAGTTGTCAGCGAGATGATACTGGGCGTTATTCGACGCGCGTACATCTGGACTCGCGTGCACTGAAAAAAAAGCTGCTCTATCTTCGTTCGTAGTTCATTTACATCGTTCGCGAAACGGGAGGAAACTCTTGTATGGCGAAGCTGTGTCGAAGAATACGCACGACTGCTCTTCAAATCGCACTCATATATCCTACACACGAGAGATTCATTTTTTTCCTTTCTTTTTTCTCCTCTTTCTTTTATGCATGGGCATCTCTCGATCTCTTCAATCTCAATCTCGTCGAAAAAAATTACGAACAAAAATTACGAATAGTGGAAAGAAAATCAACAATAACAAGGTACTGCGATCATCCATAAGCATCGCGCATCCAATTAATAATTATAACAGTGGTCGCGTAAATAATTTCTATAGGGACAAATATGTATATGCACACGTACACATACGCGCGCGAGCGCGCAAACACACATACACACACACAAAATATGTAGATATATGTATAATTCACTAAAAGTAAAATATGTTTAAGAGCACTGTTGACGTTCCACTCAGTTTTTCATCATACAATTATATCATTTTTACGGTGCATACACGCGCAAATTACTAAAATAAAGAAATGGATACGCAAATACACATACACTGTGCGCGACCGATGTACACATGCACTTGAACGAATATATACAAAATATGTATGATAATGATAACGCTCCATTTCCAAATAAAAACGCCGTCTCTCTCAATGCACAGGCGCAGAATTCATTTTACGTCAAATTTAATCTATAAAAGTCTTCCATTCCTTCCTCGGCGTGTACTCGTCTGTATCTATATATTCGGCCGACTAGTTACGGATACACGGGCGTGCTGTGAAGCGTAATTAGTAAACAGAGAGAAGGGAAAAACGGACGGAGTCGTTCGACGTTCTCGCCGCATTTTCGCCTAACGAACGAGGAAACAGGTCCGGCAATTTGTATTGCGGCCATGAATTTGGCCGATACATCGCGAAACAAGTAACAATTTATTGAAATCCCGATACTGTTAATTAAATGTGTCCTCTATTTAACAGCAATTTAGTCAGCAAAATTATCTTTCAAAAGTAATCAAAATTGTAGTTCACAGTATGATGAAAGCAAAATTATTTTTCAAAAGTAATCAAAATTATTATTAGAAAAAAATGTATATATACGTATACTTTTGTAAATTTATGATAAGAATTCGCATAATGGATTTTATATAATATATTCAAGAAAAAAAATATTTACACATAGTCACTGATGCAAATAACGATTGGCTGAAATATGTACAATAATATAAAAGAGAAGGAATGGTCTTTTTCCTAATATAAACAAAGATGATAAATCGAGAAATGCAACGCAACTTTAATCGCGTTGTTATGAAAATAAATAGAATTTTCATTCCTTTTACGTTCCTATTTCTTTTTATAAAGCGTGTTTATTACCATTGGTACAGACTTATTTATTGGAAATGAAACAAGTTCTGTCTTACACAACGGACTTAATTGTAGCCGGGAGCGATCGGAAGACCAATTTGCGCCGTCAAGAAATTGTGCGAAATCCTTGCGATAGTAACGCATTAAAGCTTTTATCCACTTTGATGATAAACCATTTCCGCGCAACTTTTTAACGGTCTCCTTTCGTTCTTATTTAGAGTGAAAGACTTGCACATCTTTCGCTACACAAGTCCGGCCTCCCGAGAGTGGCCTTTTATCTGAGTTTACGATATCTTTGCGAGAATATCACAAAGATGCGACACAACACGAAACACAGCACAGTTGAAAATAAGTACATTTAACCGAAAAATATCATAATATCAAAATATGATACACATTCGAAGAGACTCGGAAAATGTTTCTTTTTCTATGTACGAAAAATGACGAATAATGAAGCGGAGAAAAAAGTTCACCCTCCACGTGTCATGTAAATTCTTACGGCGCAGCGCGGTCCGTTCATAAAAGTTAACGTAGTTAAAATTTAATGATAACGCGTGACACATACAAAAGTCGTAAAAAGTGCCAGCGTTTATCTTATTGTTAGCAGCTATCTCTTTATCATTTTTTATAAGTTACAGTAAAAAAAATTGCGTAAATAAATATATCACGATACATTACAAGCGATGCGACGAGAACGTTATGATGAATGAGCTCAGTCTGGAAATAGTGAGAATGAAACGAAACATTTAGATCGTCAAAAAAGACTGATTTGCATGAATTTCTCGATCCGTTCACTCTTCTCGCGATAGAAAGAAAATTACATCTGCAGTATCTGAAGATGATCCGAATCTTTTTCGCGCGTTATATGCAAATATAAATATTATCGAAATGCGGACAGCGTCCGACAGAAACGATCGAAAGGAAATCACGGAACGAAATCGCGAATGAATGTGATTTCTTCGCAAAATGTAAGTAAAAAAAAGTTGGAGAAAATGGGAAAGGTATAAGTGAAGAAAGAAAAGAAAGAAAGAATATATAAACGAGGGAAAAAGATATGCTTTGTACGATATAAATATCCATAGTACACGCAGGTTCGCAATAGCGATAATAATTTTTGTATTTAATAAATCGACCGTATTAAGGCGTGTGTATATTCTATACTACTCGTATAAGTTCGTTATATATTTAAAAAAAAATCGTAAAAAAAAGATGGAACAAATCGACCAACGAGAAGAGGCGGAATCGTTGTAATACTGCGTAATAATGTTATAAGACGTTAAATCGATGGAAATGCGGCTGAGAATGACCGATGCGTTAAATGAAATAAATTATTTTTTTTTAACATACAATACTTCTCTCTCCGAGCGAATATCCGTATACTCTTCCTTATTAAACGCTTAAAGTAAACGGATGGAGAAAAAAAGAGAGAAAATAAGGGAAGAGACGAAGAAGTAAAATATGCGTGTATGTATATGTGTGCATGTATGCGTGTGAATGATAGCGCAGGTGAGAGTGCTGGAACGAGGAGAGAAAAAAAAGAGGAGAGGAAGGCGGGCAATCAAAGTATTTCAGCGACGAAAAGGTGCATAAGATGCGAGAATGGCCGAATAGCTTTACTGATCTACGTTCGCCGTACCTTGTGCTCAAATCGTGTTCTCAACAGTACACCAAAAACGGGCAATCGATCGATCTCGATTATACGACTGTCAAACATACGAGATGGACCGAGCGCCCGTCATGAGCGGGTATGCTACGAAGATCAAGAAACAAGAGTAAAATCTATGATGTATACTGACATTAAAAATCTATCAGTACGCTATGACTTGATTTTATAAAAAATAATGAAAAAAAGAGCTCTCAACGTCTTATTCTTTATCGATCTACCATTCCCACTCTTAACACACACAACTCTTCTTTACAAACCAAAATTGTAAAAAAAAATTAGGATTCGTAAAAAGAAACGAGCCAAATGAAACCTCTGCCGAAAGGTAAGTAAATAATTCAATTACGGAACTATTTTCATTGTTGAAAGAAATTTATCGATTTGCCGCGGCCACTAGACTTTAATCCGTTTCGTCGATATACCGATTATATTTAATGCAGGAGGATTTATAAAAGCTTACGCAAAGCTCCTTATAGTAAAGATCTTCTAACGAAGTTTCCAACTGGTGAAAACTTCCTAAGTCCGATAATTACGTGCAATGAAAACACGACGACAAATTATTGGTATTCATTCTCTCTCTCTCCCCCCCCCCTCCCTCTACCCTTCCTTTTTTCCCTCCCTTCCCCTCCACTCTCTTTTTTCCCCGTCCTTTCC